TTATCAGAAAAAAGTCACTATGTACACAGGCAAGCTGTTGCAAATTACCAAACTGCGAATCCACAAGTGCATATAGCAATTCAGTCACGGTATGAGAAAACAATTACACTGCGTTTATAGAAAAACAAGGTCTATTCCGCTATGGAGTATGACCCTGATATTGCTTATAGAACCGACAGCAGTGTAGCCTTGGGTTCTATGACATATGTACAAGTGTCAGTGGTGCAATTCGCTGAAATGGAAGGATGAGACACCTGGTATGTGTTGCAGCGCTGGAAAAGTGCAACTTGATCGGTTGAAATAACTGCCTGAACCACTCTTATTTTGATTAATGATCTACACCCAGATCGTGACCATTTTATGGGTAATATTCGTAAATATAATTCCTGTTTCCAGAACTTCCTTTGGTGGTAAACATGTAACAACAGATGGTTTTTAGTTTTAAAGTACAAGATCAGGTCTACCATTTAATTGGAAGTACATTACCAGAAGCCGAACATGACCCTCAGTACCTTCACAGAGGACACTGGAGGAGAGCTTTACCAGGAGGATGGAGGAACTGGAGGCACAAAAGCAATCAGCAGGCACCGCATAGGACACTGTCGCCAGGGTAGCAGAAGAGTTCCGTACATTTAGAGAACTAATGTACAGCAGATTCATGAGTGTTCAAAGGCTGTAGATGCTGTGGAAACGAGACATCGACGCAAAGCTCTTCTCTTCATGGGAGTACCCGAGTCTGAAGGCGAGGACAGCAGTAAAGTCATCATGGATATTATCCAAAACAAATTGCAACTGAAGAACCACTCTATCGAATCTATCACCATCTGTCACAGGCTGGGGACATCCAACAAAGAACATCACCGTCCATTCTTGGTGAGGTTCCACAGCGCCGAGGTCAGGACCTCTGTCTGGAGAACGAAGTCTGCATTCAAAGGTTCATCAGTCTCAATACGGGAATTCCTTATCAAAACAAGGCAATCAGCGTTCACTAAAGCAAGGCTTCACTTTGGCGCTCGCGCTTGTTGGACGCAGGACGGTGCAATAATCATCAAAGCACCTGATGGAGATCGCCACAAAATTACTTCTTATGAAGAACTATTGCCCTTAACAGCCAAGTATCCCGATGCTCCTGGTGTAGCGGCATCTCAGGCACGAATTGGAGCCAAAAAGATGGACTCGCCTCGCTCACATGAGAACATTCCGGGCAAGGTATAATGTATTCGGCATCACACAAACGGTTTCATTTAACTAAGTCGTAACCTTGTATTTACGTAGCCCGCTGGCCGGTAATCACTAGCAATCAGGTAAACACAACTGTCCATATTGTTTTGTTATCATTTTGTTCACTAATTTACCCACAAAGTTTAAATTATTTTGTACGCGTTTTGTATTTTATAATGTTAGTTTCGATCGTAAACAAACGTGACACTGTCAAAGTGACATTTAGTTCAGCGAGCTGCGTTCGTATATGTACATGTCTTTTGTCCTCATTTAACGTCTAACGTTTCGTTACACGCTTACTCTTTTATTTTTTTCTGGAGGGGCGGCGGGGTAGCCATTTACATTCACTGTTCTCTACCTTACAAAATTCTAGTTTCTTCTCCCGGCATGCAAGTCTTACCTCTTCAACCGACTCACCATAATATACTGGCGAAAGATACATGGCTTGATTTGATCATTACGTCTGACCCAAAATTTGTCCGTAACCACGGTCAACTTCCTGCGCCTGGTTTTTCCAACCACGACCTCATTTTCCAACCACGACCTCATTTTCCTTTCCTATGTTCTTAAACCTCCTAAACACCCTCCCAGAGTATTGCACAGGCGTTGTTTTGGTCGTTTGGATGTTGACAGACTACGTAGCGATGCCACCAAACTTAACTGGGATGTAGTAACCGCGGCTTCTAGCCTGGACGAGAAAGTCGAAGCTTTTAATAGATGACAAAGGAGATTCTCTTGGCTATGGGGCGAAGGGATAGGGCTTTCTGTAGGCTAAGAAAGGGCCGCACAGATGAGAAGTGGAATCTGTACAAAATTGTAAGGAACCGATGTAATCAGATGATACGCAATGCCAAACGCCGTTATATCCTTGACAACATTGCTCGTTCCTCCCCATCCCACACGTGGAAGTTCCTTGGAACGCTAGGTGTTGGCAAACAGACACCTGCTAACCAGTCGGAGATAGTGGGTCTGGATAATATAAATCGTCATTTCTCCACGTCTACTCGTTTAGATCACCACACCAAGTATCTCACAGTCAATTACTTGGCGAGCCTAAATCCCCCTTTTTTTTTTCCGTGCGGAAATCTTTTTGGATACCACCTGTCGGTGGCATGTCGGACACGAACCGACTAAAACCGCACGCCGTCTCGGGTACTAATAGCCGGGGAACCAGGTATACCCTAGAAAGGAAGTCCCTGGTACCCCGACATACCTCGGGTCATCTACAGACGAGTAGACGACCCCCCCCCCGTGTGGGAACCCCATGTTCCCTGTGCTCCCTGGAAGCGAGCGCGCTTCGCAACGCGTTCGCCGCCACCCCGGCCTGCTTCTGCTAGGGTGAGAGATGGCCACACCTTTTTTTTTTTTATTGGGACTAATCTCACCCACACGCCCACCACTGTAACTCCTGTACAGCAGGATCCACAGCAGTGACCCACGAACACACCGAGTTATGACACTCGGGAAGTCCCAGGAAGAAATTAAACTGTCTTGGAACCCGCAACGAAATTAATCAGAAGAAAATTGGAGGAGTTGGAAATACAGTAAATCCACTTCCCTCCTTAGCAAAGTGGGAGACAAAATGAAGTAAAATAGGCATACACCCTTTTAAACAGGGAAGCACCACGGCCACAAAATATTAAGGGTCCTACATGAGCTATATTTGATTTCTATAATATGTATGGCAGAGTCGCCTAAACGCACGGAAATTCACCCTAGTTGACACAAGATCCCCTTAGTATACCTCCCACAGATGGCCACACCTGTCACCCCCAGCCCTGCGCTTATGGAGGACGGAGGTCGTTCTGCGACCTCCGGCGCCTGAGTCGCCTGCGGTACCTGGCCCGTTCCCGGGCCTGGCGGGCCGGGAGAGTCCTCAACCTCTCCCGGTCCCGCTCCGCCGTCTCCTTCGCGAGCATAACTTGCTCGCAGAAGGAGACGGAGCCTAAATCCCCCTAACATTAACTCTTTTCAATTTGTTCCAGTTGCGCAGGGTGAGACCAAAAAGATAATCCTCTCTCAAATCTAACGCTGTGGGCTTCGACCAAATTACAAGACGCATGATCACAACAATTCTCGATCAGCTTTTACCAGCAATCTCCCATATCATTAACTACTCCCTATACTCCAGAACTTTCCCCTCACTTTGGCGCAAAGCCTACATTATTCCATTACCTAAAATTGCAAATCCCACACTTCCTACCCACTTTAGACCTATATCAATTCTTCCCTTCCTATCGAAATCCTTTAGGCCTGGCCACAGCACCACCACTGCCCTCCTCAAAGATACTGGTGATATCAGGGTGGCTTTGGAAGATACAAAAGTGACAGTCTCAATTCTGGTCGACTTTTCAAACGCCTTTAACACCGTCAGCCACGATATCCTCTTATCCATCCTCTCCTATCTTAAGATCTCGCCTAAAGCGCTGGAATGGTTTTCATCTTATCTTCAGGGACGCCAACAGTCCGTTTGTGTCGACGATCTCTCCTCGAGCTGGTGTGATGTGGGCTCTGGTGTTCCTCAAGGCGGTATACTTTCTCCTTTATTGTTTTCTGTGTTTATTAATCTCTTATCTCTTGAACTTCGTAACGCGTATCATCTGTATGCTGACGACCTGCAACTGTATGCTCAAGCTAATGTTGATGACATACCAATAGCAATTGACGAGATCAACATAGATCTCAAAACCATCAAAAACTGGTCTGAAAGGTTTGGATTATCGGTCAACCCGACAAAGTGTCAGGCAATAATAATTGGCAGTCAGCGTTCGATGAACAGAGTCAATTTGGAGACGCTCCCCAAAATAATTTTTAATGGTATCACTATACCTATTTGTCGATCGGTGAAAGACCTAGGCATACAACTCGACTGCACCCTGAACTGGCGCGATAAAGTCACATACGTATGCCAGAGGGTTACCGACATCCTTAGAGCATTACATCGCCTGAAAAAAATTCTTCCTGTGAAAACTAAGACAGCGCTCGTGCAATCTCTTATCTTCCCTTTAATCGACTACGGTGACGTGTGCTATTATGACCTGAATGCAGATCTTCTCAACAAGCTAGATCGTCTCATCAATAATTGCATTCGATTCATGTTTAATCTTCGTAAGTATGACCATATCTCCGGTTTTCGTTCCCAGCTAAGATGGTTACCTATTCGTCAACGCAGGAAAATGCGCGCTCTCACAACTATGTACACTATCCTCAAGTCCCCTTCCTCTCCTACTGATTTAACAACACAATTTCAATTGTTATACAACAACCACAACAGAAACCTTCGTTCGGCCAACAATCTTCTTCTACTCTGTCCTTCTCACACCACTGGGTTTGTCGGCTCTTGGTTCTTCGTCCAGGCTGTCCTCTTATGGAATGCGCTTCCTCACGAAGTCAGGATGGCTACAAATCTGTACTCTTTTAAGACGAAAGTGAAAGAGCTATTGCTGAGCGAAATGGCAGATTCAACGAGCTCCTAGTTCATCGGCTAAATTTTTTATTTTTCTCATATATATATGTGTATGTGTATGTATATATATATATATATATTTATGAGTATGTATATGTATATATATGTGTGTGGTATTACGACGTATACACCAAATTCCAAGATAGTTGGTATTTAACAAAACCATTAGGCATTAAGTCCGCCGATGCATATACTTGTGCAAAAAGTTAAAAATAAATAAATATATTTTATAGGTGAAGGTGATAGAGAAGCAAATATTCGATGTTCTAAATTTCCTAACTTAAAGCCAAATTTAATCACACAATTGCAGAATATGCTGCATCGAGTGAACCCGATAAAGCCCCTCCTTCAGAGTCATACAAAGTTGTATGTATACAATGCTGATAAAGAACCACCAGAAGAACATAGAGGTAGGTACAATGCACCAACTATAAATGATGTTGTTTTTTTTTAATATTAAGGACCAACAAACAGTTACATAATAATAATAGATAATTATAGAGGATTACATAATTATGAAACCAACATCGTTGACCACAGATAAAATTGACAATAAAATAAATAAGTGGACTAGAATAGCTTACACTTTCCAATATGAACGAGACAATAAAATGTACACAAAACAAAACCACAAATTCTACAATTCTACACACAGATGAAGAATGATGATTTTAACACAGAATTACACAAAAAAGTTACAATAAGCCAAAGTTACATTATTAATTACACAAAAAGATACAATAAGACAGAGTTGCATTAAGAAAGTAATATGTGCTTTGAATACAAACCTGCAAAGTCAAACGTACCTATTTAAGCCTAACCTTATGTTGTATTTCTTAATTTGTCAGGTATGCCTTTCCTTTATTTCTCTACTGACAGTTGAAAAATATCAATGTCATTAAAATATGTATTATAGGTGTTAACAAAACGATATATAGGAGATCAGGTAATAGATCTCCTATATATCGTTTATTTAGTTTCGTTTATTAGTGCGACACAATAAGGTTGCAAATAACTCATGAGAACGGTCGATTATATGATCGAGTTGGAATGTTGTAAGATAAGCTGTTATTTAATGGAATACAGTCAAATCTACAATGACAAATGTCATGTAAAAACATTGCTTTCAATTGGAGTCTCCTACTTTTCAAGTCAAACAAGTTATATTTATCCAGAAATAGCGTGTATCTCAAATGATTACGGTCACATTTATAATGCATAATGAACCATTTCAATGTTGTAAACATATTTTGTATATAAGGGATTCCAAAATTGTATTGCTTACTCGAGTTGAGAGCGAACGAGTGTCCTATAAAGATGAAGGAAGGTGAAGACTTGTTTGAAACCCGTACCGGAGCGCATCACAAAGTCACGCATTTTATATGCCCTATTAAATATGTTTTCGATATGTAAATCTAACTTTAATTTACTATCCAATGTTACACCAAGATCCCTTATAGACGAGACCTTTTCATGGAACCTTTTCAATGGAAATGGTGTAAATGGAGTTATGCATGAGTCTCTCGAAAAGTTTCGACAAAACCGACAAAATCGAAATTGGACAATAACTCGCAACATCCTTTTTGGAAATTCCCCATTATAAAGACATCTGTTAAAAGTAATGTGAAGTGGTTTGCATATTGTATCAGCGGTCTCCTTCAAGAAATATGGGGGTACGTTGTCTGTTTCTGTGGCCTTAGTAACGTCTATCTTAAGTATTTCTTTACGAATATCGTCAGAGGAAAAAGTAACATTGTTAATTAATATACCATTATTATAGGTCGTGTCATCAACGCCAATGTCTGATACGTCAAACCTATCAGTGACCTCCGAGGGTTTAAATACCGACTTGAAAAAGAGTGTAAACTTATTACAGGCATCGCAAGGATCTGTAGATAAACTATCTTGATACACTACACTATTTGGTATATCTGCACTTTTTTTCCGAGTCCAAAAATATTTTGTATTCTTTTTCAGAATTTCTTCCACTAAATCTATGTATTAAAGTTTAAGAAGGAGGCTGAAATATGTCACCTACATGACATATTTCAGCCTCCTTCTTAAACTTTAACCTATATACTGAAAACAATCCGTAATCTGCGATATTTTTGAATTTTTCCCATTTAATACAAGTCTTATTTTTATTTTTATACAACTTAACTAGATTGAAATTGAACCAAACTGGAAATCTGTCAGTGTTAACAGTTTTAGGGGGGATGTTTCCACGTATAATCTTATACATAATCTCATAGAATGACGATACGATTTCTTCAACAGATTTTTAAAACCTTCTCATTAATTACTGTATAATCTCCTTTAATATAACAGTATTTAGAGTATTGTTTCCTTTCAAAGAACCTATCACTAATAAAGCACGGTAAAGTTACACAGAAAGTGGTAAGGTTCTCATCAGGGGGTACAAGAGGGGGTGAAAGTGTAATACTATTGTTCAAGTCATTAGTTAAAACTAAATCTAATATCCTATTGTTTTTATTTCTGAAACTATTAATTTGGAAAAGATTAAGCAGCGACGTTAAGTTAAGTAATTGCTTACCAGAGCGGTAAGTATCACGAGATATTACCGATGTCATATAATAACTCACAGCTCAAGCAATATGTGTTCAATGGCAGCCAGCGGCGGCGGCACGGGTAGGGCGTCCCGCGGGAACTCACGAGGCGCGGCTATCAACTCGCGCCTTACGGCCATCAGAACTCCGCCGCCACTAGTCAACTTCACACCCCCAGTCCCGGAAAGTTCGAGGCGCCGGTCGCTACGCGGATCGCTAAGCAAACTCGCTCTAAATCTCTGTGTGTCCATCATACAGCTTTCTTGGGATAATTAATGTAGTGGTTTCCCTTTGCTTTCTACATCGCGGTATTATAACCTAAGTGGCTATAATAGTCAATATGTGAACCGGCTCCGATCGTTCATCTTTGAGCTTCACTAAGGTACTAGTGGCTACCGCTGCCCTCCACCAGGATCTAGGCACTATGCCCCTGTGGCCGGCCTTCTCCGCTGACTTGGCCGTTCCGACACCCACTGTCTCCGCCCACTCCACCGTTGAGGTCTTCACCCGTAACCCTGGGCAAGGGTTCTACGCTATGCCCATAGAACTGGGTCCCTATCCGAACTTGGTCAGCAGGTAGGAAGCAGTTACTTATATCGTTGATGAATATATTAAATAACAAAGGTCCTAACAGTGATCCTTGCAAGACGCCCGAGGAATATTCGTAAGTGTTCCTCTAGATGTAGAACCATTAAGGACAACAGTTTGACATCTATTTTCAACGTACGATAAAAACCACCAGAATAAATTGCCGCCGACACCATACTCAAAAGTTTACGCATTAAGATTGTGTGATCTATTCTATCGAAGCATTCACTGTAGTAGGTGTATATAACATCGACCTGTGACTCTTGTGACATGGATTTAGACATAAAATCACAACACACTATAAGATTGGATGTGGTAAACCGACCCCTTAACAAGCCGTGTTGGTGTTCACCAAAACTTAGTTTGAGGGCAGCATAGACTTGTCTGTATATGATTTTTTCTAAAATCTCATCGAACACGCAAAGCTTTGAGATGGGTCTGTAGTCCGATCGATTTAGTTTACATCATATTAGACGGCGTTTAGGTAACGCATGCTCCAAAAAAAAATAAAGCACTGATAGATAGTTCTGACAATCATAACTCGCGAACATGTGAAAGGTTCAATAGAAAGTGATAGTTATAAGGATAATAACTTTAGGATATTTTATTTCTAGTGTTCTTTGATGAACTGCAGCTAAGGTCTATAAGGTAAGGTAGGTCTAAAAATCATAACTTGATGTTATTTTATTTCTAGTATTATTTAATGAACTGCAACTAAGGTGCAAAAAAGTGATAGTTTTGACAGTCATAACTCGCGAACATTTGATTTCTAGTGTTGTTTGATGAACCGGAGCTAAGTTTTTTTTAGAAAATGATAGTTCTAACAATCATAACTTGATTTTATTTTATTTCTGGTGTTGTTTGATGAACTGTAGCTAAGGTCTATAAGATAGAGATAGTTCAAGAAATCATACCTTGATGATATTTTATTTCTAGTGTTCTTTAATGAACTGCAACTAAGGTGCAAGAAAAAGTGATAGTTTTGACAGTCGTAACTGGCGAACATTTGATTTTTAGTGTAGTTTGACGAATGGAAGGTAATGTCCAAAAGAAAGTGATAGTTCTGAAAATCATAACTTGATGAATATTATATTGTAAGCAAAAACAGATTTATTTGATTAAAAAAACAATTTAATGTTATACAGAATGCGAAAACACTATCTGGTTATTTAACTCTAATACATAATTGAAATATTATAATAATAATAATAATAATAATATACTTTATTCAAAACCTTGTTACATTTTCACAATAATTATACGATAATGGCTACAGTAGTATAAACTGTGTCGTAGCCATTAACGCCCACATCCGAATCCAACAGTACAAGTACTTACAACTAAGTTTACAATTTTACAATGAGTAATTAAATGTGTTTTGGTACCTATCTTGTGTAAATGGTGTTTGAGTGTATGTTAAGTGTAGGCGAGTGTATGTTAAGTGTAGGCGAGTGTATGTCAGTGTACATGTGATGAGTGTAAGGTGTATACGTTTTCATGCTATGATATCTTCAGACTGACTGTACGTTAAGGAAAGAAGCCACACTATCAATTTGTCCTTACATTTTTTATAGGTTAGGGGATATATATTTAGCAACCTATTAACCCTATTATATAGTTTGGGGCTAAGAAAGTAAAACTGCCGGGATGCCAGAGCAGTTCTATGTGGTATACTAAAATGTACTCTGTCGGATCTACGTGTATTTTTAATAAAATTAATGTCATACGGGGAGGCAGTATGCTTACGCAGAATAGCCCGCAGTATATATAATTGCCGCACCGTTAGTACCTTACAGATACTGTAAAGCTCAGACGTAGGGAATCTTCTAGGCTTACCAGTCATCACCTTAAGTATACATCTCTGAGCTCTCTCCAAACGAACCATATATGCTTTGCAAGCACCACCCCAGGACGTAATGCAATAACCGATTATAGATTGAACTAGCGCATAGTAGACCATCTTCATGGTGTTAAGATCTGTAGCATTTCTCAGCTTTTTAAAAATATACAACAACTTTCTAACCCTTGTAACAATTTGTTCAATCTGAAAATTCCAAGTAAGATTATTGTCGACTATTACCCCAAGATATTTAATGCAGTTACAACGAACTATAGATGGACAACTGCAGTTGTAGGTGTTAAGGGAGCTACATATGTGTGCCTTGATTTCGAATGAGGGTGGCGGTTGGGAAGATGCATTTGGGGAAAAAGTCATGAACCTGGTTTTTTCTAGGTTAAGGGTGAGTAAGTTTATTTCGAGCCATTGCATTACCAAGTTCAAAGCGATTTCAGCATTACCACGTGCAGAGTTCCAGGTAGGTCCATCCACTAGCAGGACAGTATCGTCGGCAAAGGAAACAATTCTACAGTTTTTGACTTTAAGGCAGCAAAGCTCATTCACATAAATAAGAAACAGAGTGGGACCGATTACACTTCCCTGGGGAACCCCATAGGTCAGTGGAACCTCAGAGCTAGTGATATTATCTATTACTACACTTTGTGTGCGGTCTCTGAGGTAGCTGGCAAAAATCTCAAGAGCCAAACCACGGATCCCAAGTGATTCCATCTTGTGTAGAAGGAGGGGGATAGAGACAGTGTCGAATGCCCTGGATAAGTCAAGGAATAAGCCAATGGTTTTTGTATTTTTATCAATATTAGTTATAACCCCATTACTTACATCCAGGACCGCATCTTCAGCGGATTTTCCACGTCTAAAACCATATTGTGATTTCTGCGAGTAAATGATTCTTCTCTAAATATTGTATTAATTTTTTGTTTAAAAGTTTTTCAAGTAATTTGGAAAGTGATGATAAAACAGAGATAGGCCTGTAATTATCGATACTGTCTCTATCTCCACTCTTGTGGATAGGGTGAACAAGAGCTTTCTTGAATACCTTTGGAAAGACACCCGAAGACAGGCATAAATTAAAAACATGCTTGAGCACAGGTATAAGTACGTGCCTTGAGGTTCTAATAACAGATGATGGGATTCTATCCCACCCTAGTGCTGTGTTATCTTTTAGTGTTAATATAATCTGTTCAAGTTCAGACTCATCAACCTCAGTCAGAAACATTGAGTGTAGAACAGGTGGGCGATAAATTAGTGCATTTAGCTCATTAGGAGTTTGTTGACGGCTAGATCGAGTCATGAGGTTATTCGCCAGTTTAGCACCTATCCCTGCGAAATGTTCGTTTACCTCACTAACGGCTGTAGACGGATCCCTATGGTGTTTAAGTAGTGATATAGGTGCAGATTTGTCGCTAGTGGTATTAGTAATTTTTTTGAGTATGTTCCAGGTAGTCTTGGTATTACCCCCGGCCTTTTGTAGTTCTATTTTGTGGTAGTTCTGTTTAACCGTCCTAAGGAGATTATTACAAAAGTTGCGATAGCGGTTATAGGTTAATTTTAAAGTTTGATTCAAGGGCTCCTTTTTTGTATTTTTTTGTAACTTATCCCTGTGGCGAATGCAACGCAATAGACCGGGTGTAATCCAGGGTTTAATTAACCGCCGATTGTGTGATAACGCAATAGTTGTGGTATGAGAACTAATGACATTAGTCAGAATAGCAACCAACGCCTCCGATGCCACCTCAGCATTTCCTGCAGATAAAACCGGAGAAAAATCGATTTCCTCCAGCTGTTGGCTAATGGCTGCAGGGTCAGTACGCTTAGTGGTTTGGCAACGTTTGGTTTCAGCGAGGGTTGAACGGTCGCAAGAGAAAAATATAGGAGCATGATCGGTTATATGAGAGTCAAGAATATATGTGGTAGATTTGTGGTCGGTTCTAAGTATTACGTGATCTAAACAATTTTGGTTGCGTGTGGGTAGTAGATGGGCAGGTAGCATACCATTGGAAGAGGTCATATTTAAATATTGATCTGTTTCATTGTTCCTATTTTGTGGAGTTATGTTTATGTTCAAGTCCCCAATTAGCGCCAGGCATTTATATGAATTTAATGATTTTAGTATTAGGTCCAATGAGTCTATAAAACTGTCAATATTCCTATAAGAGGGGGATCGATATATTGAAACAATTGCAAAATCATTTTTATGTTTAAAAATGAGACAATTGGCATCAGCGATTTCAGGTTCAGAGACAATATGACTGATTTTATTATTGACATAAATTACCACACCGTCGTTTTGGTATGTAAATTTTGAGGAGTAACAAATGAAGTCGGTAAGAGCTGGTAGGTTAGATATTTTACTTAGCCAGCACTCTGTTAAAATAATGATTTCGGGGAGATTGTCCAGTCTGTGCAAAAGTACTATAAGCTCATCAAAATTCGCTGAAATACTTCTGATGTTGACGTGAAGCACTTTCCAGGACTCAGCAGGTTGCTTTGTCATACCAACACAGTGTTCAGGGGCGCATATTAGGGATTCTGAGACAGAAAGTCTGTCTAGGTCATACGTAATCAGAGTTGTATTATCCATAAGTATTTATTTGAATAGCAATAGCACTGGACAATGTGTAGACATACGACAGTATGACCCCAACACCGTCCGAGTGTTGAATACTTGTTGTGAGATAATGATATATTTATTTTATAGGTGGTTTCCTTATTACCTGAAGATGTTTCTGACATGTCATAGAGTTTGAGGTGAGTGTAAGTAAGTTGGGATAGAACAATTGTATTGTGTAGTGTGTATTTATGGTATTGTATATTATTATAAGAGTAGTATATTAGTATATTGTATAAAAACATAGCAGTATTATAAGTAATAGTATTCAGACTTAAGGTCGCTTCCTTCAAACAACTGACAGACTCTTCACTGTGCTTGGAAGATACAATATCGAGCGAAGTTAGACAAATTTTAAGAAATACAATCCGCAGTACATAATATAAGATTATTATTTTTTTATCTCCAGGTCTGCTAGTGACTGCTCCGATATAATTCGTATTTGTGTAGTTCCAGTTTCCTTTCGAAGATAGATACTGCCGTTTTTTGTCCAACAAAACATATAGCCATGCAGTCTGGAAAACTCCCTTGCCTTATAAAATAATTTCCGTGAGCTAGCCGGCAAATGTTCCGCAATATATATAGGTCTGCGTTCACCAACTAAACCTATAGTATGTGTATTCAAAAGTTCTGTTTTCGACCGGTTTTTATTGAAAATGCGAGCAGTCGCCAAAAGAGAGGTTTTCGTCTGCACACTGTTAAATTCAGCAACAATCGGTCGCGCTGTTGCCGATTTACCTGGAAGACGATAAACATCGCGAATTTCCGATTTTGAAATCGTCATGTTCATGGTTTCTGCAACCTTAGTGACAATAGATGATAAGTCAGATGGCATTTCATTTTCTTTACTCGGAATATTCCGAAGTTCGATGCTAGACAAGCGCGACGTTTGCTGAAGATCCTGTATTCTAGTCTCAAGGTTACTAATACAATGTCTATAAGTTTCCTTTTCTCTTTGTAACTCGGCAATCTGTTGCTTCACATCTTCGAATTGGCTGTTAATAAAAACCATAGACCTCTCTATCTCAGCATTTGACTTAGTCAATGAAGTAGTTTGGTTCTTGAGCTCGGCAATGTCTACCATCAAACGATTCAAACTAGCTGATTGTTGGTCACAAAACTTGGTTAGACGGGAGTCCTGTTCCTCTTTCCATTCCTTTAACATATATCTGATATCCTCCCTAAAGGCAGAAAGTTCATCGGATGGAGAATGCTCTGAGCGAAAGCGTTTATGCCTCGCGATAGTGTTTATGTTGTCCCGATCGGTGACAACAGGGCGAGTTAAATCAGTCTCCGATCGAACTTGGACTAGGTTATTATTACGGCCCGCCTTAGGTGAGGATTTTGCCCGCGACATTTTAGTATTGCAGTAAAGAACAGGTAGATACTAGATTTGCAGTTATAGTAGAATATATTAGCTCAATAATAAGTAATTAACAGGTTGTCAAACTTATTAGCTGTAGAAAATCGAGAAGCGCACAGTTGATTTTTAAGCCACAACAATATTAGTCATCCGCAGGCGGTCCTCCTCGCAGTCGCAAGAGCGAGAGGGAAATTATTAGGGTGTTTTCTTTCCAGCGGAGGTGAAGGCGCCAACACTGGGTGCTGGGGGGCGCGGGGCCGAGATAAAGCCGTCGGCGCAGGATGAGGCCGCGTTGAAACGAGAGAGAATTTATGAGGGTGTTCTCGTTCTAGCGGGGGTGAGGCCGCTCGCGCGGACCACGCGTGTTGTCATAAAGCCGTAGCAATAATATGCACTCCACTTACCCCAACAAAGTTGAAAATGGGCTGGTAGTAATTATTGTAACTGATTATTTTTTGAGAGCGAATTATAAACACGTTTACTCTCAACAGCTGCTCGGACGGAAGGGCTAAGTAAACTATTATAGTTACGTGATACACGCCACAGAGATGCACCAGTCCGCACACCGCGAGGTCCCGAGCAAAAGTGACCGATCTTCACGATACTACTCGTCATTCGATAGTCTCATTCGAATGACGTCACACCGCGAAGTTAGGTACAGACCACCATTGGCGTACTTCACTCTATTCCTTCATTCCTTACACGGCCTCTCCTGACACCCTGACGTCCTTGTCAGGTTCAAGTAACCGCACCTCTTCATTGTCTTCATTTGCAGTGGCTTGAACCTCTACCAAAAGTTTATTAGGATCCTCTGTAGGTAGATCGTCGTCCGATTGGTCAGTTGCTGAAAACAATTATCCAATTTAGTGTTAAACAGTTAATAAATAGCACTCATGTTAGTAACAATTAACAGAGATAGGAAAAGGTTTGAACCCCAAGGAAAAGAGGGAAAGATTGTTTATAGTCCGTTCCAGACTACAAACAAACAATCACTGTTACATCCATATAAAACTAAACAACCAGAAGTTTAGTACCTTGACAAGAGTAGACCTACAGCATGAGGATCTACTGTTACCATAAAATGACCAAGAGTTCGGGGCTGGTTACCCTGTCCATAGGCCTTAAAGTTCACTCAGGAAGACCATGAGTTTGGGGCTGGTTACCCGGTCCATAGGTCTTAAAGTTCACTCAGGAAGACCATGAGTTTGGGGCTGGTTACCCGGTCCATAGGTCTTATACTTTCTCTCAGGAAGACCAGGAGTTTGGGGCTGGATACCCGGTCCATGGGTCTTATAGGTTTTCTAAGGGGGACCATGAGTTTGGGGCTGGTTACCCTGTCCATAGGTCTTAGAACACACTGTAAAATCACAAGATCTACTGTTACAGTGACTTACTCGCAAAGAAGGCTGCACATTCTTCAGGCGTCCATTCACCTTTCCAAGGTACCATGAATTGAGCTGCGGCATAACTTACTTTGCCATAAGCTCCGGCCAGTAATTTCAACTCATAACGACCATTTTCGAGGACTTTAGTTATCTTATATGGGCCACGCATACCAGGATCCAATTTTCCTTTGGATTGTGTGTATTTAATGACAAACACAAGGTCGTTCATCTGGAAAACATGGGGCGGGTGTCGACCTTTATCGACATATTTATCTAGTCGCTCTTGATTTTCTTTAAGACGTTCGGCCGTCCTTTGTCTGTCAAGCTCTTGCAGGGACTGCCGTTCAGAACTTGAGCAGTCTTGAGTAACATCACGAACTAGAGCTTGTATTACGGGGGTGACTCCCTCGGTGCCTATTAAAAGATTTAATGGAGACGCCCGTGTGGTCTTTTGTTGAGTAATATTGAGGACAAGCTGTAAACGCCATAATTCTTCAGACCATTTACTTTTCTTAAGGTTGATCTCTATACGTAACATATTAAGTAGAGTGCGAACATATCTTTCAACCTGACCATTAGAACGATGCATTTCTGGGGTGATATGATGTATCGAACATCCTAAATCGTCAATCCACTTAACAAATCGTGCAGATTCAAACATACGGGCTCTGTCAGTAACCAAGAGACGTGAAGTACCGAATAAGGACATAACATTTTGAAATATTTGTTTTAACTCATCCAAATCTTGTTTATAAAGAGGATACAGTAGACAATATTTAGAGAAAGCATCTACTACTACCATAATATGTTTATATCCATTAGACTCGGGCAAGGGACCGAGAGCATCCATATGGAGGGTGTGAAAATATCTGGCTTAGGCCACGATGTGATAGGCTGTAGAACGGCTCGTGGAATCCTTTTATTGGCTATACAGGTTAAACAATGTCCTATGTATTTTTTAACAAACGTTTGCAGACCAGGAAACCAGAAATATTTTAATATCAACCCTATTGTTTTATCTACCCCCACATGACAATGTTCATCATGAAAAACCCTGAGTAGGCTAAGCCTATACCCCTTTGGTATATAACATAACAGCCGTGATTGTTCTCCTACCGGCGAGTACCGGTAGTAAAGAATGTCATTGTTTTTTACATAACGACTAGCGTCTAATTGTCCATCGTCTAATTGACTAATTAGTTTTCGAGTTTCTTCGTCACCTGACTGTGCGATTTGCGCCCAATTACGTGGTTTGTCTATGCTATTTACAAAACGAATAGGGTTGCGACTAAGGTAATCGGCATGAGGCATTAATACGCCTTTACGGTAAACAATGGTGAATGTAAAATCTTGTAAATACACCCACCATCGGGCCACACGTGGTAAGAGATCCTTCTTATTTTGTGTAGCTTTTAATGCATTGCAATCGGTAATGACTTTGAATTCAATGCCAATAAGGTAGTGACGAAAATGGCGTAAGGCTCTAACTACAGCTAACGTTTCTAATTCATAGGAGTGATATCGTACTTCCGCGCCACTATTCACCTGACTGTAGTAGGCCACTACACACTTACGACCATCCCTATGAATTTGAACTAGAATAGCTCCGTATCCTTGACTGCTGGCGTCCGTATGGACCTCTGTATTTAAATTAGGGTTAAATATAGTGAGAACCGGTTCGTTAGTTAAACACTTAATAATATCGGCACGAGCTCGTTCTTGTTCTTCACCCCAATTAAATTCTACATCCTTTTTAGTTCAACGTGCGATACATGAGGTTTTGAAAGCGTAATTCTCTATGTACTTTCTAAAATAGCCCGCAAGTCCTAAGAATTGCCTAAATTGACGCACATTTTTAGGCGCAGATGAGTTTATTAATGCCGTTATTTTCGATTTTGAAGGACGAACCTCACCGTTAGTTATTACGCGTCCTAAATACTCTATTTCAGTGTTCAAAAAGGAACACTTTCATATTCAACGAAAACCCAGCATCCGTTAAAGTCTATAGAACACTATTAAGGATATGTAAACCGGCGTCAATACTCTCACTAATAAGTAACACGTCATCAATATACACCACAACAACGCCGCTGTTTATGAAAGAACGCAGGGTATTACTAATGATTCTTTGGAAAAATACTGGCGCATTCGCGAGTCCAAAAGGCATTTTTAAATATTCATAATGACCTTCTGGCGTCACAAAACCCGTGAGAGGAATAGAGTCATTATCTAAACGAATCTGATGGAACCCTGATGCCATATCAAGGGTCGTAAAATATTTACCTTTACCCAACCGGTCAATATGATCCTCAATTAACGGCAAAGGATATCTGTCTTTAATCGTAATTCTATTTAAGGCCCGGAAATCTACACACATTCGATCAGTACCGTCTTTTTTCTTTATCAAGAGTATAGGGCTCGCGTACGCAGACTCCGATTCTCGTATTATTCTTTTAGATAAAAGATCTGCAATAATTTCACGAACCTTCAACTTTTCATTAAAAGATAACCGGTAGGGCCTGTAATGCATCGGTGCATCACTGTTTAAACGGATGTGCATGCTACCAGTCGTCACGCTTGTAGTAGCCAGTCCGGTAATCATAAACTTTGAAAACTGATTTAAAATCTCCAAAAGTCTTTTGCGGTCATTTCCTACAAGTGAGGTCTTAATAGCGTGCTCATCCGCTTCTACCGTCGAAACTTTTGTCGGGACCGAATTGTAAATTAATCGTTGACAACCCTTAGTACGTATATATGTTACCCCCTCACGATTTAAAACATCTGTACCGATTATGATAGGTGCATTCATACTTTCACTGGGCACAACCAATAAATCAACCTCAAGAGTGATTTCTTCAAACTCTATGGTAAGCGTTACGTAAGAGAGCACTCGAGTGATAGTATGACCAACACCTTTTAACTCGCGATAAGTGGGTTTTGAAGAACACGAAAAATAACTCACGACAGAGGTGGAGATTAGTGAAACGTCTAACGCGCCACTATCTATCAAGACGTCAATGGGAATTCCCTGAATCACTCCCACCATAACGTCTCTAGAGCTATTCAATTTAGGCAATGAGCAAAAATTTACGTTCGCTCTCCTCTGATCAGAACGTTGCTTAGCAAAACAATCCTTAATATGATGACCTATCTTTTTACAATACACGCAGGTAGTTTTAGATTCCAGTTTTATCTCACTATTAGTTGGCTTTACACTAGTAGACGGTATTACAGTCGTACTATTGGAGGGTACTTGGTTCGTATTTACTGATAGTTTGTGCTTGGAGCGACAGTTAACTTGTTTGTGACCCATCAGTCCACATGAAAAACATTTAATCGGAATGCAGTATGCGTATTCAGCATACGTTGCATAATCGTCGGAACTCGTACTCATCACTTCATACAAAATATTCGCCACATCGATCTTGTTCACGCATAAAGACCTAAAATCTTTTTTAAAGTTACTCCATGATCGGTCCGTCGTGACCCAATCATCTAACCATGACTTAGCATCACCCTTAAGACAGTGCCCAATGCGCGACAAGCACTCAGCGTCACACCATTTGTTAAGGATTTGTGCTCTGTCTACCTCCTCAAACCAAGAATCAACATCATTCATGTTAGGGTCGAAATTCGAAACGTAATAATCACGAGAACTACCCCACCTTAAAGACTGAATAGCGTCTACGATTTTTTCAGTAGAATCATTAGGTTCTGTACGCGTTTCGATATTTGAAGATGTCGTCATGGTAGACCTACCTTCTAATGCGTTTAACCGCGTCATGATAACTTGTAACGATTCACGTAATTCCGAACCATGAGAAGAACCGTGGGTAGAACGACTACGATGCCGGCGGCGGTAACGTTTAGAATTATTATCATCACTCGAGTCAGATCGACTGCATGAACGTTTACGCCTACCCATTATAATAGATCAATATACACTGAAGCAAATTACCCAATATTAGCAGATAAACACCAGACATTAATAACACAAGTAACAAAAAGAAAAAGTAAAATCGATTGTGGGTTGAAGGATAACTTTGTCCCACTTCTGATGTAAGCAAAAACAGATTTATTTGATTAAAAAAACAATTTAATGTTATACAGAATGCGAAAACACTATCTGGTTATTTAACTCTAATACATACTTAAAATATTAAGGCTAAGTAAACTATTATAGTTACGTGATACACGACACAGAGATGCACCAGTCCGCACACCGCGAGGTCCCGAGCAAAAGTGACCGATCTTCACGATACTACTCTTCATTCGATAGTCTCATTCGAATGACGTCACACCGCGAAGTTAGGTACAGACCACCATTGGCGTACTTCACTCTATTCCTTCATTCCTTACAATATATTTAATATTGTTGACAAACTGCAGCTAAGGTTGAATATAAAGTGATAGTTCTAAAGATAATAACTTGGGGATATTTTAATTTCTAGTGGTGTTTGATGAACTGCAACTAAGGTGCAAAAAAAACTGATAGTTTTGACAGTCATAACTTGCGGTCATTTGATTACTAGTTTTGTTTGACTAATTGAAGGTAAGGTCCAAAATATAGTGATAGTTCTGAAAATCATAACTTGATGAATATATTATATTTAATATTATTGACGAACTGTAACTAAGGTTCAATAGAAAGTGATAGTTCTGAAGATATATAACTTGGGATATTTTAATTTCTAGATGTGTTTGATGAACTGCAGCTAAGTTTGAAAAAAAAAATGATAGTTCTAACAATCATAACTTGATGTTATTTTATTTCTAGTGTTGTTTTTTATTTAAGGAGTTTTAGTTCTTTTGGACTACATCACTCCATAAGGTCATCAAATAGGATACAGTACATACAATATTAACAGTCAATAGAACAATCATATACATTTATACTCGGTACTCGTACGTCGCCTCATACCGATATCAACAGTTTTGTAAATTGCTTTTGCTGCGACTGAAAGGGGATAAGCTAATATTTGGTTAGAGACTCCAAGGTATTTTAAATTCTCTTTTATAAACAACATATGATTTCTAATGTCCTCGTTGCGATCACATTCTACATTAATGTGTAACGCACCTTCTAATAGCCCACACCCAGAACAAAGGGGAGATGTCACTTTTTTCAACATGTACGCAAATTTATTAAGTGGAATGTACCCGGAACGCAATCTAAAGGCTACAGTTAATACCTGCCTCCTCAATGTACACTTGTCAAACCACAGGGGCGTGCGCTCCTTGTAGGCAGAAATGCAGTGCTTTACTTGCTATTCACAGACATTTTAATAAAACGTTCGTACGTTTTAGTTGACTTTAATTAATAGTAAATAAATGAAAAAACAAAATATAATAACTTAAAAACGCCTACTATTTAAAAACAGGACCACACAAACATTATGTTTGCCAGGTGTTTACCGAAAAGCAAGCGCAAAGCAACTCATGCCGTCGCGTCCCGCATTCCATTTGTTCGCATGTGTGTAGTAATTTTGGTGTCCGTGCACAGTTCGCAAACGCACACACTCATTTATTTTATTACCCCGCCTCCAGCGGCAGGCTACCGAAGTTAGTTCGGGAGTAATCGGAAGTGTTCGTTTAAATAGCAGATATGTTTCGTGTGTTTCGCGGCCATATTGTTTACATTTTGTTTGCGCCAGTATAATTATAGTTTTATTTTTCATTTTAACATTTGAAAGTGTGTACATTTAACAGTTTATTACTGAGTTCCGTTGATTTTTTAAAAATGTTATTTGATTGTGAGGTACGTGTGGAAAATGTGTGTAACCGGAACCTTGAATATGTAAAAATCAGAAAATTGAAGATGACCAGGCGAGTAGTTATAATATTTTAGCTTATTATTTTACTCATTAGAATTTCTTCCGCCGCGACGATCTATCGCTGTTTTGTCTACCGTTGAAGATGTACATGAATAGTAGTACATCTAAGACTTGTTCTGTTGGCATGGTTTCCGACTTAGAGATCCGTCGCGTGGCTGTGGCTATGCTAAAAATCTATAAAAGAAAAAGTTTTTATGACCGACTACTCCGCATACCTAGTGTCATAATCCTGTGCACGCCGCTGTCAAACCATGTAGACTTCCAAGGCTCACTTTGCAATGTTCTATACCATATGCCTTTTTCAACTGATCGCTCATCAAAATGAACTTTCTAAAGCTTATAGCCGTGTTCTCGAATCAGATGTATACAATCAGTGGAAAAAGGGCAACAAATCAATGGGCACACCATCACTAGTAGCCTGCTTTGCTGGTATATCTACTTCCTCATTACCTGCCAGCCCGATATGTAAAGGAATCCATTGAAGGATCACCTCATCCTTGAATTTGATTTCATTCAAAAAGTGATTTTATAATGTCGTACGCTATCGGCATGCCTCTTACATAAGAGGTACACCGAGCCACATGTTGAAGCGCACTTTTTAAATCAGTTAAAATTACAAATTGGAGCAGGCGCATCTGCGTGAGCTCAGCGAGCGCGCCGGGATCGAAGGCGTCGGTGGAGGACGCCATCTCGCTCGCCGACGTGTAGCCGCTCTCTGACGAGTCCTGCGTGCCGTACTTGTCCGAGACCACTATCTCGGGCGTGCTGAGGCCGTTGAGGTCTTCTGAGTAAGGGAAATAACAAAAAATACAGTATATTAATAAGAATCACACATCTCACATACGGCAGTCTAATCCCAAACTAGGCAGTCTGTGTTATGGTATACTAGAAATAAAAAATAATTATAGATAAATTACACCCAGACACAGAACAATTTATCGTGCTCATCACACAATTATTTATTTTGAGTGGTAATCGAACCCACGACCTCTGATTTAGCAGTCATAATCACTAGGAATCCGAATGATGGTGATGATGAACATCATGTGAAGTGTTTTATTTAAATAGCTTTAAGACTTAGAGCAATCACCATAAATCAAACATTAATATATTATAACTTAAAGAAACCAGAAAAACCACGCGTTTGTAACTAGCCGAACTAAAAAGAAGAAAATAATTTTCTATAAGTTAAAAAAAATCATTTTATCGTAAAAATGCGTTGTGCTAGATTTCTTGTTTGCTGTAAATATTTTATTGACAGATATTGGTAGAAGTAAAAGTTTTATATTATAAAGTGTCTTGAAAAGCATAATTATTACATACATTGTTGAATTAAAAAAAATAGTCACTAATAATTATTCAGAGACAATTTTTTTGAGTGATTTAGTAATAAAACTTATTTTCTTTCTTTCTTTAAAATAGTAATTTTATTAATCAGCCATTTTATGACATCCATCATCACTTTTTTTAAACACCAGGCTTTTAAAGTTCCTTATACACACAAAAAAAAACTTACTAGAGTAAGAATTGCAGCTGTTCATATTGCTGTCTGCTTCATCTTTTTCCGAATCTTGTCTATTCTTACATTCTTCTTCTTTATTCTCACTCTCCGATCCCTCTTCAGCTTCTTTAACATCATCGGGTGACTCTTCTTTGATTTCACCTTGAGCTGAGTGGTCGCTGCTGCTGGAGTCTGATGGATTGTTAGGTACGTTGAATCGAACATGGGAAGGCCGTGATGACTCAGAAGATAGTCTGGTAAAAAAGATCATGGTCTGAGAAGATTGGTTAAGGAATATTGTACAATAATGACAAGTAAATGATGGTATTGATGGGTTCCCTCACTTCACTTCAGTCAATTGACATTAGGTGACACTGATAGTAAGTGACTACCTCCGCTTATTACATCATCACATCAACACCCTTTAATACGCCTCTCCTTAGGAAGGAGGGTTTGCCCTACTATACCACGCTGGCCAGACATGTTGGTTTGTGTCAAGTTTTCCTTCTCTTTGCAGTGCTGTTGTCCTGGGTAGTTTGCTCCCTTACGACTCCCAAGGGACGAATAGGGGTGGTGAAACTCCGTATACCAAATCCGTCACCAAACATATAATGGACACCTCTGCTAATGGAGAACTGCAACTCAAGAGTCAGAACACTGATCAAGCGCCGTCAAATATTCACACACATCACACACATCATCAGCCTATCGCAGTCCACTGCTGGACATAGGCCTCTCCCATTGCACGCCACTTAGATCGATTTTGGGCTTCTCGCATCCAGCTCCTGCCAGCCATCTTGCGCAAATCGTCACTCCACCTGGCCTGTGGGCGTCCTACACTACGTTTGCCGAGACGCGGTCTCCACTCAAGAACTCGTTTTCCCCAACGGTTATCGGTTCTGCGGCTAATATGGCCGGCCCACTGCCACTTCAGCTTGCTGATCCGGTACGCTATGTCGGTGACCTTAGTTCTCTGCCGGATCACCTCATTTCTGATGCGATCCCTTAGAGAAACGCCGAGCATAGCCCTTTCCATAGCACGTTGAGCGACTTTGAACTTGTGCACCAGCCGTACCGTAAGTGTCCACGTTTCAGCTCCGTATGTCATGACGGGTAGGACGCACTCATTAAAGACTTTCGTCTTAAGGCACTGTGGGATCGACGATGAGAAGACTCGACGTAGCTTCCCAAACGCTGCCCAACCCAACCGAATTCTTCTGTTCACCTCGTCTTCGAAGTTGTTTCTACCTAACTGCAATGTCTGCCCGAGGTACACATAATTTTTAACAACTTCGAGAACGGCACCGTGTACCGCAAACGGTTCCGGTAGTACATCTTCGTTGAACATGACCTTGGTTTTATCCAAGTTCATCCGTAGGCCGATGCGTACAGAAGTGTCAGCCAAGTCATTCAGCATTTGCTGTAGGTCCTGCAACGTCTCTGCCATGATGACGATGTCATCTGCAAATCGCAAGTGAGAGATGTATTCGCCATTGATATTGATGCCACGCACTTTCCAGTGCAGCGTCTTGAACATGTCCTCCATTGCATTTGTGAACAATTTCGGGGAAATAACGTCCCCTTGTCTCACTCCTCGATGCAATGGTACGGGCCTTGTTTGCTGATTCTGTACTTGGACGGACATGGTGGCGGCTTCGTAGAGACATCTCATCACTTGGATGTATCGCCAATCTACTTGGCAACGCTGCAGGGACTCCAGAACAGACCAGATCTCGATCGAGTCAAAGGCTTTCTCATAGTCCACGAATGCTAGACACAGGGGCTGATTATATTCTTCGGTCTTCTGTATAATCTGCCGCACTGTGTGGATGTGGTCTATGGTGCCATATCCACTCCGAAACCCAGCTTGCTTCGGTGGTTGGAATTCGTCGAGTCTTTGCGCAAGACGGTTCGTGATGACTCTCGAAAACAGCCGCCAAATATTAATATTTGACGCCGTCAAATATTAAGAAACGTAAAACCAGCAGCTACTTCCTTAATTATGAAGTAAGTTATAATTATCACTGTACTTATTTTAGGTTTTCAATGTGATCTATGATTTTTTATCAAGCAATATGTGATCTGTTCTGTTACTGTCTGTTGTATAACTGATTCAATGAACACTTTTAACACTTTTACACAATAAATATCAAGTGTTTATAATACGTCTGTCATTTCCCTGTTAACATAACAAGTGATAATGTTCAATGCAAACCTACTTATTAATTAATATTATTTAACGGGAATTAACGCGATCTCTTATTTAGGGTATTACATACCTCTGGTTTGCCTGACGTTTCGACCAGGTTGCACCGGCCGTGGTCACAGGCTGACTTGCTCATCGGCGCACGCCCTCCGTCGTCGAATCCGTGAAGTAGAAGGCTCTTCATCTACCCGCACATTTTCGATTTTATTTTTTTTGTCGCCATGTACCGTCACATACCACACTAACAGTGTCCCTATTCTGTAAGCAAACCGATGAGTCCCTATTCTGGTGTTTAACCGATTGCGCAGAAAAGCGAGGTGGTATGTTTTTTAACACTGGATTCCACGCTGTAGATAATTTAAAACCATCTTCCCGATTGAAAGTTTTATGCTTTTTAATCTCAATCGCTTCACGTACAACTCTTGAGTAAAAGTGACGTTCGGTGGAGAGGACTTGCGTGCGGTGAAATTCAATCCAGTGGTTGATGCCTGCATCGAGTGCATGTTCTGCAATCGCTGATTTGCTCGTCTGTCGGTTCTTCACAGCAGCGATATGCTCTTTGACCCTTTCTGCAATAGTCCGCTTAGTTTGGCCTATGTATGAGCTTCCGCAGCTGCAGTCTATTTTATAAACACCCGGAGTTTGTAGTGGCAATGTATCCTTCGGTGTGCCGACGATGTTGTGAACCTTTATGCCTGGTGTGTATACTGTCGGAATGGAATATTTCTTTAGTACAGACCCGATCTTGTCCGTAACTCCCTTGACATAAGGCATATAGGCCGGTTGCCTGTTCACTTCTGGATACTTGCGTCTTATTTTCCGTTGCTTCCGTCCTCCTTTCACTTGATATCCGTTACCTTTGAGTACCTCCTGAACATGTTTTAGCTCCTGTTCTAAATGTTCAGGGTCACAGAGATCGTAAGCTCTGTTTTTGAGTGAAGTCATAACAGATTGCAAGTGCCGGGGGTGATGATGAGACGTGGCGTGTAGGTATCTGTCCGTATGAGTAGGTTTACGGCACACACAGTGTGACAAGGACCCATCCGATCTCACGGCTACTTTAACATCTAAGAAGGACAACGACCTGTCCGTCTCCATTTCATATGTAAACCTCATTTTGGGGTGAATAGAGTTCAGATGTTGTATATATTGATCCACTTCTTGTTTGTTTCCTTTGACGATACTGAAAATGTCATCCACGTATCGCTTCCATAGCTTAACGGTATTCGGGCCGAGATTTAAAGCCTTCTCTTCAAAATGTTCCATCCAGATGTTGGCCAGTACTGGGGCTACAGGACTTCCCATCGCGACACCATCAATCTGGAGGTAATGTTGACCTTGGAAAAGGAAATAGTTGCCTTCTAAACAGTGTTCAAGTAGATCCATATAGTTTAAGGGCAGCTCGTTGTCTCTCAGTAGGTCTTTTACGACGTTTAGGCACTCCTTTATTGGAACATTGGTGAAAAGCGACTCCACGTCAAAGCTCACCATGACGTCATCCGGTTCCAACGTCAGATCTTTTATGATTTGTATGAAGTGCCGTGAGTCTTTCACAAAAGACGGTGTTTTGCCTATAAGTGGTTGCAATACTGAAGCAACGTGCTTTGCTAGATCGTAAGTAGGAGAAGCAATTTGACTTACAATCGGCCGCAGCGGTACGTCAGGCTTGTGTATCTTAGGCAGACCATATAATTTCGGTGGCTGGTGTGACTTTGGTTTGTACAGTCTGTTGTACTCGTCTTCTGAAAATAGGTCCTCATTGTCCCGGATTAGAGATCGTATTTTTCGCGTTACTCTGGCCGTGGGGTTGTATGTTACCGGTTTATAAACCTTATTATCACTCAACAGTTCAAGTATTTTGCTTTTGTAATCAGTTGTATTCATCACTACGGTAGCGTTTCCCTTGTCGGCCTTAAGCACTAAAATATCCTGGTTATCCCTAATGTTTTTTAGTGCTTGACGCTCTTCGATAGTGATATTACTAGCCGGAAGCTTTGACCGACGTAATATTACCGCAACGTCCTGTCTTAGGATATCGGCATCGCCGGGCGGTACTTTGTTCCGTGTAATCGATTCCTGCCCCTACCACCAACTCAGGGGCATTTGACTCCCAACTGCGTGAAATCCTCATCGCAGTTGGGAATATGCTGGACGGACGCCTGGCTGGCCTGGAGGCGAGACTGCCCCCTGCGCCGATTGTGCGCCCCCCGCTCGCGTCGGCACAGCAGCCTAAGGCCGCCGCTCCCACCGCGCTCCCCGTGGCGGGAGGCTGCGTTTCTTACGCGGCGGCGGCGTCTGCCCCTACTCCATCGGCTCCTCAAAAGCCGAGGAAGGGGGCCAAGGCACCGGCCCAGGCGCCGGCCAAGGCACCGGCCCAGGCGCCGGCCAAGGCACCGGCCCAGGCGCCGGCCAAGGCACATCCTCAGGCGTCGGCCAAGACGGGGCCTAAAACGGCGCCGAGGAGCGGAGTGGCATTCCCTCCGCTCCCCACTCCGACACCCCTGCCGGGCCCCTCCGCACCTGCCCCCTCCAACGAGGGTTGGCAGAAGGCGAGGGGCTCCAAGAAGTCCCGAAGGCGGGCCAAAAGGGCTGCCAAAAAAGCAGCCCAAGCCCAGCCTTCGCCACCGGTGGCAACGGCCTCCACAAAGAGGCCGCGGAAGCTGCAGCCGCCCAAAACCGCGGCTGTAGTGGTGACCGTGTCCCCGGAGGCGGCTGACGGCGGGCTGTCCTACGCGGCCGTCTTTAAAAAGGCCCGGGACAGCCTCGCCAACGATTTTGGGACGGTGGGGGTCAGGATGCGCCTCGCCCAGACGGGAGCTCGAGTCCTCGAGTTCCCTGGGGCTGAAGGCGCAAAGACGGCGGACCACTTTGCTGAGAGGCTGCGGGGAATATTTGCGACCACAGATGGTGTCAGGGTCGCCAGGCCTACCAAGTGCGCGGAACTGCGCATCTCGGGCCTGGACGACTCAGTGACGGCCGAAGATGTCCGCGCTGTAATCCGGGAAAAGACGGGGTGCATCGCGGACAACGTCAGGGTCGGCACCATCCGCCCCGGTCCAGGAGGG